GTTCTCACCTACATCGTCCACATGGGACGACTCGGGAACTCAACTCCTACCCCGGGCAGCTCACCTAACCCCTTATGCCCAGGGGAAAGGTATCAAGCCGTTTGACAGATGATGCTACCTGTCAAAACGGCTTTTACGCAAAAACAGGCGGGAGGCAGCAACAGCTGCATCCGACGAGGTCGCCTGCCACCGGAAGTCTCCTCTGGGTCATCACATTTTGTTCCCGGCCCACTCCGAATTGCTCCTCCAGACCAAGTTGGGCGACCATGGATCAGCTCTATGCGGAAAATGATCAGTTAAAACAGCAGGTGGCCCTCCTGACTGCACAGATGGCGCAGATGCAAGCAGCTCGGCCACGCCACAGAAGCCCTGTTACAGTGCCAGAAAAGTTTGATGGCTCACAGGCACGATTCCCATCGTTCTTTGGGCAGTGCCAGTTGTGTATGAGCCTTTGGCCTGAGGACTTCCCCACTGACCGGGATAAGGTGGGGTTTGTGATAAGCCTGTTGACAGGAACAGCAGCACGTTGGGCAACACCCCTGCTGACCCAGCCCAATCAGCTGCTGGACAATTATGCAGAGTTTTGACGGCAACTCAAGGCCATGTTTGAGGACCCGGTTAGGGCCCAGACTGCAAACCGTCGGCTGAGAGAGTTGCGGCAGGGGCGTGGTTCGCTGACAGACTACATTGCTACTTTTCAGTTGGTTTGTCAGGAACTGCAGTGGAACGAGGCGGTGCTTATGGACCAGTTTCAGGAAGGACTTTCGTCCGAACTCCTGGATGAGCTGGCACACACTGAATGCCCTCACTCCTTGCAAGAGCTCATGCACCTGTGTCTCCGTATCGATGCAAGACTCCAGCAGCGACGGGCGCAACGACGGACGGAGGCCTTGCCCGCACCTGTTAAGACAGTGGCACCGTTGGCACCGCCTCCGGATGAGCCAATGCAGTTGGGGGCTGCACGACCTTCACTGACCCAAGCTGAAAAAGATCGCTGCTGCCGCGAAAGCCTTTGCCTGTATTGTGGCGGTCCAGGCCATATGGCGGTTAAGTGTCCTATGAAGGCACCCAAAGCAGCTGCGGGAAATGGGCCAGGCCCGGCCTAGAGGGTTCCGTAGGCCAGGCTCACTTGGAAACGGGTCCAGTACCTCCACCTCAGCAGACTCTTGTTAAGCACCTTGTGTTACCAGCGACTGTGTTTGTGCCTGGTCAAGGAGCGGTGGAGGTCCAGGCCTTATTTTATTTATTTATTTATTTATTTTTAAGACTTATATGCCGCCCTTCTCCCCACGGGACTCAGGGCGGCTCACAGCATATTAAAACAACATAGCACATTTCCCCAATAAAAGCCAATTAAAACCAAATATTTGTAGCTGTGTCTCTTATTAAAAATCATTAAAAATTATCCCTATTTAAAATTCACCCTAGGTCAGTCCC